CCATCATCCATCTACCATCCATCCACCATCCATCCATCAACTATCCATCCATCCATCCACTATCCATCCATCCATCCACTATCCATCCACTCATCATTCCATCATCCATCCACCATCCATCAATCCATCTGCCATCTATCCATTCACCCACTACCCATCCATCTATCCATCCATTATCCATCTGTCCATCCATTATCCATCCATCCATCCACCATCCATCCATCCATTCATCCCAGGGACACACTCTTCTGTAAAGGGACTGATAGTAAATATTTTAGGCTTTATGAACCATCCAGTCTCTGTTGCAACTACCAACTCTACCACTGTCTTTTGAAAGCAGCTATAGATCATATGTAAGTGAATGCATATGACTGTATTCCAGTAAAAGTATTTACAAGAGTGGGCAGTGAGTCAGATTCAGCCCTGAACCATAGTTTCCCACCCCTTATCTATTCCTCTGTTCATTCAGAAAACAAATGTGTGTTTCACCTATGCCAGGCTGTGCTCTAGGTGCAGGGACTGGGTAGTGAAAGAGACAGCCCCGGTGCCGGCCTCCTGGGTGGTGAATTCCAGCAGGGCCAGGAAGACACAGCAAACTAGAGCTACGTGGTCTGTGCTCAGGGCGTGGTAAATGCTGTGCAGGAAGGAAGCAGGGAGAGGCAGCAAGGTGTTGCAAAAGGGTCCTCACTGGTGAGGGTGAGGCCTGCAGAGGGAAGGGGCCTGAGGCAGGACTTTGCCTTGAGGAACATGGGGCAGCCCTTATGGAGGGAGCAAGGGAGGTGAGTTTGGGAAGATGAAGCAGCCATGCCAGAGCCCCGCTTCTCTTTTAAGTGCAGGGGACAACATCTGATTTGCTTTTATTTTTTCCCCCTGAGACAAAGAGTCTCGCTCTGTCACCCAGGCTGGAGAGCAGTGGCACCATCTCAGGTCACTGCAACCTCCACCTCCCAGGTTCAAGTGATTCTCCTGCCTCAGCCTCCTGAGTAGCTGGGATTATAGGTGAGCACCACCATGCCCTGCTAAGTTTTGTACTTTTAGTAGAGACGGGGTTTCACCATGTTGGTCAGGCTGGTCTTGAACTCCTGACCTCATGATCCACCTGCCTCAGCCTCCCAAAGTGCTGGGATTACAGGTGTGAGCCACCACACCCGGCCCTGATTTGTGTTTCTTAGAGGTCTGCTGGGGCAGGGGCAGGTGTGGAGGCTGGGAGGTGACAGCTGCTGCTGCATTCCCGGTGCAGAGGATGGTGAGGAGAGGAAGCTGCCACCCCCTGTACCTGCCTGACACCCAGATTCTCTTCCCAGGCCCTCTTGGTCTCCGGGGAGCACATCCTGGGCCGGAATGGGCTCCTGATGCATTCCCACTGCCAGCTGGGCCTTGCCCCAGCCCCAGACCACGGCCTGCACCTCAGCCTGACCCTCCAAAACCACAGCAGGCCTCGTTCGCCTGACTTCTCTGGGGAGCTGGTGGTGGGTGGCCAGGAAGGGGCTGACAGTTCCTGGGGAAGATGCCCCGACTTCCCTCCCATTCCTCCCTGGCCAGCAGGTCCTCACTGCCTGGGCAGCCCCGCCATCTAGTGGCCACCTGAGGAACTGCAGACCATCACTCTGGATGGGGCCAGAGCGTCACTCTGGGTGGGGGGAACACCTGCTGAACCCCAGGCCTGGCCCTGGTGCGGAGACAAAGAAGCTCCTCCACCGCCCCAACACCCAGCCCTTCCTATAACGGAGAGGCAGCGGTTGGGCTGCCCAAGTTTGAATCCCAGACCAGCTGCCTCCTGGTACCTGAGTTTCCTCCCCTTTAAAATGGGTATCATAATTGCACTGGCCTTATCTCCCATGGGGTTAATATTGCAAAGATTAAATATGTTCATAGGCATAGATCACTTAGACCAGTGCTTGACAGAAAACAGCCACTATGTGAGTATTTGCTGTCATTAGCCATTATTGGCCCCATCTCCTCCCCCTCCTGCCTCCGAGCAGCCCTGGGAAGTAGGAAGGGGCAGAGTTGGCCTCCAATGCCAACTCTGCCCTGACCTGGCCAGGTGATCCCAGCAAGGAACCTCTCTGAACATCTGTTTCCTCATCTTGGATCAGGTATTTCACAGGGTGGTTTTGGAGAGTCTGGATACCAGTTCCCACTGCCTGCATAGCCAAGGCACATGACATAGGTGCTCTCTCGATGTTTCCATCCACCTCCTCTGCCTCCCTGGCCGGGTGAACTTGACCTTGTGACGTTCCTTTGCTGAGCCTCAGTCTTCCCCTCTGTCAAATGGGAACATCTACCATCTCCCTTGCAGAATCATTAGGAGGAAAACAGACATTTGTACATCTGCACATAGCAGGTGCTTGTGAGAATGGAATTCCCTCCCTTCCTGGCATCTGGAGCTGGATGAGGATGGCATTTGTGGGTTGAGAGTTCAGCAGCTGTCACCATTTCAAAGGAGCTTCTCCTTCCAAGGTTCTTGTTCTCCAGGACTGACAGTCACTTCCCCGTTTCTCAGCCAGGCTCCTGGCTGCTACCAGATCTGTAGGCCCCTTGCCCGACAGAACTGGAGGCCTGGGAATGAGCCTGTGGCAGACACTCAGCAAGTGGCTGGTCCTCTTGCTTTTCTGTCCCCAATTTATTTGGGACAGCTGTTCTGGCTCCTTCTCACTTGCTCCTTTCTGGGGTCTGTGGAGTGGTCAGAGGCTTTTCCAGCCTTGTTTGTTCCTTGCCACAACCCAGTAGCCCCAGGACAGATTCGGGGAGGTCAGGCACTCTCCCAGGCTGCACAGAGGCAGGTGGGGCCCTCGCTCTTCAGTGATAGCGAGTGAGAGGCTGAGCTCAGATGCAGGGAGCCATCCAGGGCTGACTCCGTGTGGTCTGCAGACCCTCGCCTGACCCCACCTGCCTGGCAGGATCTCACTGTGCTCTGTGAAATTCCACAGGAGTCAGGGGCTGTACCCTACCACCAACTTGGATCTTCTCAGAGATTGACATGCTTCTGCATGTATAGTAAGCACCCTGCATTCAATTCCCAGGACTACTGTATTAAATTGCCACCAATCAGAAGGCTTAATGTAACAGACATGTCTGGTCTCACAGCTCTAGAGGCCAGAAGTCCAAAATCAAGTTGTCAGCAGGGCCACACTCCCTCTGAAAGCCCTAGGGAAGATCCTCCGTACCACCTCTAGCTTCTGGTGGCTGCCAGCAACCCTTGGCTGTGGTGGCATCACGCCAGTCTCTGCCTCTGTCCCACATGGTGGCCTTCTCCTAGGGACAGCATTCATTGGGTGTGTGGCCTGCCTTCATCCACTGTGGCCTCATCTTAACTTGATTACATTTTCAAAAAACTTATTTCCAAATAACACCATGTTCACGGGTATGTGGGGTTAGCACTTCAACATATCTGAGGAACAAAATTCAACCCATAACAGACACATGTGCACACACACACACACTTTTAAGTCCTGCTAAGTTTTGTGAAACAATGTTCTGTATGTTTTACAGACCTTGGAGCTGAGGCCCAGAGAGGCTGCCGACCTTACTGAAGGGTGCACAGCTTCTTAGCTGCAGCATCTGGAGCTAACAATACGGAATACAGTGTAGCTGAGGTCTTCCCCCGAAGGGCCTCCTCCAGGCTTGTGTTCTCTTGGGGCCTCTGAGCCTCTCTCGCACCCCATTCTAGACTCGCCTGTCCTGGTCCTGGTCCCCCCATGCTCCCAAGGCTGGGCACCTGCAGGGATTGAGGTAAACTACTCCGTGCCTGGGGTGTTACGCCAGGTGTTACCCATGTCTCCTTGAACTTGCTTAGACCTTTGCAGTGGTTCCCATGCAAACTCAGAAAGCCTGGGCTATTGGCAAAACACCAGCACACTGGGAATGTTAGAAACACAAGTGCCTGGGCTCCCCTCAAACCAATTAAATCAGAGTGTCTGAGTGGGACCTGGGAAGCAGTCATCTCTAAGTTACCCTGTGGTGGCTGCTGCTGGGTTGGTGGGCTCCTAGATGGTTTTGTTTTGAAGACAGAGTCGCTGTTGCCTGGGCTGGAGTGCAGTGGCACAATCGCTGCTGACTGCAAACTCCACCTCCCAGGTTCAAGCGGCTCTCCTGCCTCATCCTCCCAAGTAGCTGGGACTACAGGTGCGTGCCACTGTGCGTGGCTAATTTTTCATATTTTTAGTAGAGACTTGGCTTTACTGTGTTAGCCAGGATGGTCTTGATCTCCTGACCTTGTGATCCACCCGCCTCAGCCTCCAAAAGTGCTGGGATTATAGGTGTGAGCCACCTCGCCCAGCCTAGATGGATTTTTTTTTTTTTAATTTTTTTCATCAATTTGTTTTGAGACTGGCTCATTTTTGTATTTTTGGTAGAGATGGGGTTTTGCCATGTTGCCCAGGCTGGTCTCAAACTCCTGGGCTCAAGTGATCTGCCCACCTTGGCCTTATAAAGTGCTGGGATTACAGGAGTGAGCCACTGTGCCCGGCCCTGAGTATTTTCATAGGTGCTTTCTGTGATGGGGCACTGGGAGCCTTGGGGAGGGATGTGGCGTGGGGAACCTGGTGCCCTGGAGATCGGGCGTGGGTATTGTGCCTTCCCTTGATTTACTACAGGTCTGACCGCAGCCTCCCCAGCCAGTCCCTTCCTGAGCCTGGGGCTGGCAGGGGACGGAGACCAGAGGCAGAGCCTGCGCCAGGCTCCACGCAGGCCTCTGCCCTCCCCTTCCCAGCTTTGAGGCTCTAAGGCGCACCGGGTTGGCCTGCTGGGCCGAGTCTCCACCTCAGCTTCTCAAAACCTGGTCCGGTTGGAGGGAAATGTGGACAGCAGGGAGGAGAAAGTGAGGCTGTCCATGTCCCAGGCCCCAAGCTGTCTCCAGGCCTCTGTGGCCCATGAGGAGGGTAAGTGGCAGCTGGGTCCCAGCTCAGCTTGCTGGGTCATGGCCCCCATTGGCTCGAGAAAGGAGAGGGGTCTGGGCATGAAGATCTCAGAAGTCAGGGCTGGGCGCAGGAGCTCACACCTGTAATCCCAGCACTTTGGGAGGCTGAGACAGGAGGATTGCTTGAGCTTAGGAGTTGAAGACCAGGCTGGGCAACATAGTGAGACCCCCGTCTCTACTTTAAAAGAAGGCCTGGTGGGGCGGTGCGTTCCTGCGTCCCAGCTGCTGGGAGCAAGCTGTGATGGTGCCACTGCATTGCTGTCTTGGTGAGAGTGAAACCCTGTCAGGACTGCATGGCATCCCTCCCTGACTGCCATGTCAGGTGAGGCTGCTGGGAAGGGTACAGAAGAGGGGGCTTCCGGTGACTCAAGTTCATGTGGAGCTCCAAGTTCTCAAGTCCTAGGGCTTTGAGGCTTGGCCTGGGGCAGCGGGGAGCTACCGAAAGTGGAGGAGGAGGAGTGGGCAAAAGGAAACATCATGGGTACACCAGCAGGTCCCCTTCTGGCTCGAGGGGGCAGAGAAGAGAGGTGTGGTGCTTCGGGCGTGTGCCCACAGGTGGACGGCAAAGGCAGAGGTCCTGTTCCGGGACGGCAGGCAGCCCTCCAGCCCCTGGGATGCCTGACCCTGCAGGCTGCCAACCAGAGCCTCCTGCTGGCTGCGCACGGCTGCCAGGGGCGCCTGCTGGGCCACGTGGAGGTGAGAGGGCCTGGAATGGGACACAGGGAAGAGGTTACCGTTCTCTCCCTGGGCAGAGTCCACAGTGCCAGGAGCCCTGAGCCCTTTGGGTCCATCTGTGCCCAGAAACCAGAGCAGACAGCCCCAGGGTGAGGCCCACACCTGCCGCTGGCACCGAGACCTTTTGTCTATTTCATTCCTATGTGGCCCCAGGGAGTCCCAGCCTCTTCTCCATCCTCACAGTCCAGGATTGCAGCAGTTGTCTCCCAGGTGCAATCCTGGCTGGAAGAGAAGGTTCAAGGCTTGGGGCCTCTCTAAGAAGTTTCCAGCACCTGGTGGGTAGCACAGGAGGGAAGGGTTGGGTGGAGAGCTCCCCCTGTGGCCTGGCTTGTAGCCTTTACCCACCAGGCATCCCACCCTGGGCAGGAGGGTCTACGGCTCTCTCTGCCCTGGACCTCACCCCAATTCTGCCTCGGTTTCCCCGACCAGGTACAGACAGCAGGCACCCTGGATGGCGTGGCAGGCCTCCTCCTGCAGCTGTCTCAGGCAGGGCTGGAGGCCGTGCAGGCGAATGGTCAGGCAGTTGCCACCCTGTGGAGCCAGAGCCAGGCCAGGCAGGCACTGACCCAGCACCAGCCTCTTTACCTGGCCTGGCTGCAGGTGGGGCTGGAGCAGCTGCGGAACGAGCTGGAATGTGAGTGTGGGAGGGAGGGCTCAACTCTGCACCAAAAGCCACGCCAGCCCAGGGCCCTAAGCCGTCACATCGGCCTATGGCACTGTTTCAATCAGAACGGTGGCCTTGCTTCCCACAGGCCTGCAGCCCAGCTGTGTTGAGATCGCCACCTTATTTCTTACAGACCTACAGCCTTGGGTTTTGTTTGTTTTTTGAGGTGGAGTCTCGCTGTGTTGTCCAGGCTGGAGTGCTGTGGCACAAATTTGGCTCACTGCTACCTCCACCTTCCAGGTTCAGGCGATTCCCCTGTCTCAGCCTCCCAAGTAGCTGGGACTATAGGCGTGCGCCAACATGCCCAGCTAATTTTTGTATTTTTAGTAGAGATGGGGTTTCACCAGGTTGGCCAGGATGGTCTCCATCTCTTGACTTTGTGATCTGCCTACCTTAGCCTCCCAAAGTGCTGGGATTACTGGTGTGAGCCACCACACCCGGCCCAACCTTCATTTTTTTCGTGGTCTGCTGTCTCAGGGTGTCCAGGCTAATATCCCTTGTGCCTGCTGCATAGGTTTCTTCAGTCTTCCACCTGCCTCCTTTCCATGAAGCTCACTGCTACAGGGTCTCTTTCAGGTTCCACGATGAGCTCTCTGTGGCCGTGTGGTTCTTAAACACTCACAGCTGCTGCCCCAACCGCTCTCCTGGCAGGACTAGGAACTTCTGGCCTCTCTACCATCTACCGCTAATGCCTGGCCTAGCACAGAGCACCCAAGAACCTGCCCAGCACCAGGGTGGGTGTCCCTCTGACTGACTGTTGAATGTCACCTCTGCATCCTCTCTGCTGTGCCAGAGTCCCATGGCCACCCACGGGGCAGTGAGTTGGGAGGAGTGCTCCAGGACTCGGCACACTGTGCTGTGCGCAGCTGTGATTGACTACAGCGGGAGGAGGTAGGAGTGTCAGCGCAGGGAAGGGGACCGGGGCACAGTCCAGGGGGAACCAGGGCCTGCACCCAGTATCCTCTCCCAGTCCCAGTAGCTTCACACGGGATGCACGTGGCTGTCCGAGCACTATGTCACCCAGGGTGTTTAGTGGGGGCTGCCACATTGGCAGGTGCTGCTTGGCACGGATCACACTGTCAGACTCCTAGGAGGCAAGCAGTGGTCCAGCATAAACCACGTTTGTGCAAACAGTTCAGGTGCAGAGAGCCTCATATCACTTCTAGGATTCTCCCCAACTCCTAGTTCCCAGACGGCCTATGAGCAGGCCTTGCAGAGGCGGCTCAGGTCTGCGGTGACAGCTCGCCTGCAACCTCCAGTGCCCACTGCTCTATTCCTTTTCCCCCCTCCCTCCCATCTTAATCCCAGGAACAGGCCCTATGTCCTTGAGGCCTGGGCTGGGTCTCTGAGATGCCCAGAGGCCTCATGGTGGGTGGTGGCTGCCCGTTTTAGGGCCCCTGGCCACTCTGAATGACGCCTACCTGGAGGTGACACTGCAGGCCCTGGAGGAGGTGTGGCAGCTGCAGTCCTGGGTGCCCGGGATGCCAGGCAACAGGGGTCGTAGGCCCATCAGGGTGGCCCTGGGGACCGTGAAAGGCGCCCTGGAGCTGGTGAGCGAAAGCAAGGATGGGGCGGGGCTGGCAGCTGAGGATGATTGAGACAGCTTTCACTGTCCCCTCCCTCTCCAGGTGGCCCACCAGATGCTGTCCTGGGCTAAAGCCACGTTCTCATGGGCACTGAAGAGGCTCTGCAAACCCCTGCTGGACCTGTACAGCCTCGCAGCCAGGTAACACAGGGTTGGGAATGGCACGTCTTCAGGAAGCTCACTTTTACTCAGAAACCGATACAAAGCACAAGAAATCATCTGCAGCAGAGTGTGCACGGCTCCCTGCAGAGAGCGAGAGTCACCTCTTAAGCAGGCCGTTCTGCTCTGTCACGTTTCCTTGCTTTTGTAATTTTTTTTTTTTTTTTTGAGATGGAGTCTCACTCTGTCACCCAGGGTGGAGTGCAGTGGCATGGCCTTGGCTCATTGCAACCTCTACCTCCTGAGTTCAAGTGATTCTCCTGCCTCAGCCTTCCAAGTAGGTGGGATTACAGGTACATGAACTGCCGTACCTGGCTAATGTTTTGCATTTTTAATAGAGACAGGGTTTTGCCACTCTAGGCTGATCTGAAACTCCTGATCTTAGATGATACACCCCACTTGGCCTTCCAAAGTGTTGGTATTACAGGCATGAGCCACCGCACCTGGCCTGTTTTGTTATCTTTTAAACCCACAGAAGCCCTTCTTGCAGGCTGTGCAGAAGCAGGCTGCAGGCTGGGTGTGGCCCACTGCTCATCCATTTACCACCACTGAGTGATACGTTAGGTGGCAAATGCTAGAGAAGGAACACTGGTGAGATGGTGGGCAGGGGGATCCTATGGTGAGGCCACGGCCGGCTTTGAGGAGAAGGTACAGTTTGTGCAAGAGCCATGGGTCAGCGTGGGAAGAGAGCTCCAGGTGGGGGCGCCTCTGCACAGAGGCCTGGGAGAGGGATGTGCCTGGCCTGTTTTTGAAATGGAGTCTCGTTCTCTGTCACCCAGGCTGGAGTGCAGTGGTGTGATCTCAGCTCACTGCAACCTCTGCTCTCAAATTCAAGTGATTCTCCTGCCTCAGCCTTCCAAGTAGCTGGGATTACTGGCACACACCACCATACCCGGCTAATTTTTGTATTTTTAGTAGAGACGGGGTTTCACCATATTAGTCAGGTTGGTCTCAGACTGCTGGGCTCCAGAGGCTCAGCCTTCCAAAGTGCTGGGATTATGGGCATGAGCCACCGTGCCTGGCCTGTTTGAATATCAAGCTGGTGGGGCTGAAGCAGAATGTGAGCAAGGGAGAGTGGATACAACTGGGAGGGACTGGGAGGTCCCAAGGCTTGGGGGTGGGGTGGGGGCAAGGGTTCTGGCTTCTGCTCTGACCTAGGAAGGATGTGAGCACCCTTTCTCTTCAAAAGGCCCCTTTGGTCCCTGTGTTGAAAACACGGGGGTGGTGAAGGGGGGAACCCAGTCTAGAGCAGGGGCCTGGGGACCCAGTATCCTTTTCCCTCACAGGCATGAGGCCCACCAGGAACCGGGCTCCAGGCAGGGGGGCAGCCCCCTTCTTCCACACTGGTGGCTTTGCAGAACATCTGGACTCTGGCTCTGCCTCTAACTAGGATTCCTCTGCATCAACTCTGTGTGCCTGTTTCCCCAGCTGTAGAACAGGGACTAAACCTGCATCACGGGGAAAAGGCTCCATGTAATACAAGTTCCTGCTCCTGCCCTTTCGCAGTCAGATTGTAGGCTGAGGAAGGGAAGAGCTCCCAGGGTGAGGCTTTGGCTTGGTTGAAGAATCACCTGCCTGGTTATTCGCCTACCTGGTGAGTGGGATCTGGCGGGGTTGCCAAAAAATGGATTCAACTGGCAGGGAGGGTGTTGAGGCTGCTTCCTGCCTTCAGCTGCAGGGCCTCTGGGCTCCCCAGAAGGTACGTGAGGCCACCTGCCCCTGTACCCCCTCCACCGGCCCATCAACAGAGTATGCAATGTTCCTCTTCCCACTACGCCCCCAAGTGAGCCAAGATATCCCGATCATTCAGATCTCACAGGCTTGACCCCTACTCTACATATTGAGAAAGTTCCAGTCCTCCCCTCAACTGTAGAAATTTCTTAGACCTGTGGTCGGGCTTAGTGGCTCACGCCTGTAATCCCAGCACTTTGGGAGGCCAAGGTGGGCAGATCATTTGAGGTCGGGAGTTCGATATCAGCCTGACCAACATGGTGAAACCCTGACTCTACTAAAAATACAAAAATTAGCTGGGCGTGGCAGTGGGTGCCTGTAGTTCCAGCTACTCTGGAGGCTGAGACAGGAGAATCACTTAAACCCAGGAGGCAGAGGTCGCAGTGAGTCGAGATTTTACCACTATACTCCAACCTGGGCAACAGAATGAGATTGTCTGAAAAAACAAACCAAAACAATTTCCTAGCCCTTCCAGCTTCTGTCCTCGGCACCCCACACACAAGGCTGCATGCTGCCCAAGACCCAGGGGGCAGATCAGGCATGACATCAGACACCTGTGTCCTCAAAATAGGGCAGCTTGTTTCTGTACCGGCCTCACCCCCTACCTCCACTGTCGTGCCGGCCTCTGTCCTTCTCATTATGGGATTTCCTAGAATAAGTACAGCCCTTCCCCAAGAGACACCCCCGTGCTCTCCATGGCAGAGCTCCCTGTGGACCTGTGAGCTCCCCCTCTGCAGCTAAAGGAAGCACGGCTTGGCCAGGCACAGCAACTTGTCCTGTGTGTTCCCTCTAGGACCTACTCAGTGGTGGTGATGCTGCCACTGCTGCCTGGGGGAGATGAGCCCCTGGATGTGGCCCGGGTGACCAGCTACCTGGTGGAGGAGAAGCTGCCACGGCCACTCCGAGAGCTGTCCGGGGCCGACATGCTGGCTCAGATGCCACCTGCTGCAGGGTCCCTGGGAGTGTGAGTCCTGCCCCGGGCTGTGATGCCCTCTGCCCCATGGGCACAGCTGCAGGGCCAGGTACTGTGGGGGCACAGGGAGAGGCTCGTGGCATCACGGTGCCAGGCCCAGAGCTTATTGGACTTCCCAAGGTCCTCTAGGACTAGGGCTGAGGCTGCACATCCTGCAGATGTCCAGAATATAAGGCCTGGCCCAGCAGCGTATATCAGGCGGTTTAGGGCTTCAGGCCAGCTCCCTCCCTGTGGGCTCTGCCGGAGCAGAAGGCAGACCTCCTGTTACAGCTGGAAGGGTACTAACTGAGTTCAGACTTACCGGTCAGGGGCGACCTGCAGCCAAGGGCAGTGCTGGGAGGACCGGCTCTGGGCTCCTGGGGAGCTTGCGTGTGGCTCAGGTGAGTCTGCTGACCTCTCTGGACTCAGATTCCTCCACTGTGAAATGCAGGTAACCATGTGGTTCGCTCACATGGGTAAGGGGTATGTACCGTTCTTGATGCACGAGGGAGTCCCTCATGTCCATGGGGGAGCCACGGTACCCAGGCTTGGCAAGGAGCAGTTTATCTGTGTGGGACTCACGGGGAGGCCTAGGGCTCCCTAGAAGCGTGGGTGCAGTCATGTCTAAGCAGCACTCTGATGCTGTAGAAAACAGCTGGTCTTCAAGTTCTGTGTGTGTGACCATGGGCTTCTCTGTGCCCCTCAGTTCTGACAGCTGACCATGGGACTGGTAGTGCCTCCCTTGGGATGCTGGCCCTGGCCATCAGGTGCCTGGCTGTGCACTGTAGATGGTGCTTCCCTGCCACGGGCACAAGCAGCCTCAAGGCAGCTCAGGGACCACACTGGCTGGACTGCTCAGAGCTGCTCCTTCACAGGCCATCTCTTCCCTACCCTGAAGAGGGCAGGGCTGCAGGACACCACTCTCGTGTTTGAGGGAGCCATTGGCCATCCACTTAACTAGTCAGTGTCTCCCCCCGCCTCCCCCGGTAGCTTCCTTGAGATCAAATGGATGACTTGTATGATCTGTCATTTTTTTTTTTTTTGAAACTAGGTCTCACTCTGTTGTCATGGCTGGAGTGCAGTGGTATGATCTCAGCTCACTACACCCTTGACCTCCTGGGTTCAAGTGATCCTCCTGCCTCAGCCCTGCAAAGCGCTGGGATGGCTCAGTGCCACCATGCCAGCCGATCTGTGAATTTTAAGTGCATGATTCAGTGGCTTCTACTTTATTCACAGAATTGTGCATGCCTCACCACAATCGATTTTAAAAGGTTTTTATCATCCTAAAATGAAACCCTGCAGCTACCAATCTGCCTGCTGTGTCCATGGCTGTCCCTGCTCTGGACATCCCAGGTCTCGGGACTCCATTCCTTGTTAGGGCTGAATGGGCCGTAGACCTTCAGCTCATGTCATCTTGAAGCTGGTGGGGGATCACTGGGCCTCTGGCTGCTGTACCAGGGGAGGGGGACTCCTGGCCTCAGGGCAGGCTAAACTGGGGCTCTAGGCATCAGGGTGCCCAGCAGGCATTGGGCTCCCACTGTGGTGGGTGGAGCCGACCCCACTCACCCTGCCTTTGGGGCTGCTTCTCCCCAGATCATGCCCTGGTGGCTGGGGCCCAGCACATGGTGACATTCAATGGCCGGGTGTGGGACCTCAGCGCCCAGTATGGCAGCATCCTGCTGGCCCAAGACTTTACTCACAACACATTCTCCCTGATGCTGAGTCGGACAGACTTGGGGCTCATGGCCCTGACCGTGGAGCTGAATCACATGACCCTCATCTTCTACCCCAGCCTGCAGGTGAGAAGAGGCCTGAGCTTCCCCCAGAGACCTGAGCCTGTGGCAGGTCACCTGGGGGAATGGCCCTTTCAAGCTTGTCCCCTGGCTGTGGGTCAGCCCTCCTGCCCACCTGCTCTGGCCCACAGGCCTACAGGCTATACAACTCTTCCCTGCTGGGGAGAGCTGTCCAGACCTCCAGCTGCAGCCTGCCTTGACAAGGAGGGACATCCCCAGGATTGAGCTGGCCAGTGAGGACGGGGTCTCCGTCTCCTGTGACGTGCCCACCGGCCTCTGCAGCCTGACTCTGGGCCTCTGGCACCATGGTGAGTCTGGGCCCCGGTGGGGTTGGCCCCATCGCCAAGAGCCTCCTCAGGATGCACCAGTCTCAGCATCTAGTGCGACAGATCCCCGGGTTGTAGGCGGTGACTATGGATGCAGAGGCTCTGCTGGCCTTGTCTCTAGCATTGCAGCATGTTACTGACCTTGTGTCCACATAATCGCACTGAGGCCCAGGGCTTTCTGCCCCCATCCCTGGGATACATGGCTCCAGGGTGGAGTTGGCCCTTCTGTGGTCTCTCTGCCAAGGAACACAAAGGAAGGGCCTGGATTACGGCCACTTGAGCTGAGGACAGCGGGGACACGTGCTATCCTCAGTCCCTGTGCTTTCTCTACCTCCTCTGTTGAGGGTTTGGAGCCTGGGCCCTGGGTTCCGGGAGTCCGGGGTTGAGGTGGCAGGATTCTACCACTCCTCGGTGTGCCTCAGGCTCATCTCACACACAGGTCCCCTGTGGGAGGATCACAGGCTCTCAGGACCTCCTCAGCTTCCCTCCTCCACACATGCATATCCGCAGGCCTTCTGGGCACTGACTACAATGAAGCAGGCAAGAGCTGATGTTGCTGGACGGCTCTGTGGCCTGCAGCGTGGAGGAGCTCAGGCTGGCCTGGCAGGTGAGTGGGTGAACCTGCCCTTCCTCCCTCCAGCTGAGTCTCTTGAGGGCTGCTCGCTGGAGTCCCAGGAGAAGCAGGTGGCCTGCTGGCTCTGCAGAGGACTTTGCAGGCCCAGGGTTTGGAGGAGTCTCCTGCTGAGGCTGCTGTATGTGGGAAGGCCACATGGTCCAGCGGGAGGCCTGAGTCTTGTCTGTCCCGCCAGGTGGATGTTGACTGCAGGGCCACCGAGAAGACTCAGTAGGCCTGCCCAGGACAGAGCCCCACCTGCAGGCCTTCTTCCAGGACCCCTGCTCCAGCTTGGGGAACTGCTTCTGGGTGGTGAGTGTGCGCCCCTTCCCTGATCTAGCTTAGGCCCCTCCTCCATGCCACTCCCCAGGGTAGGGACAGTGACTGGGTGGCCCTGATTTCAGGTGGACCCTGCACCATTCCTCAGCCTGTGTGTAGGACCCCTGTGGCACCTGGGAGCTCCAGCCTGCCTGCACTCTGGTGGCCACCTACATCCACCTATGTGCCTGCAGCTTTGTGCCCCTGGCCCCTCCCCGCCCCGTGTGGTAAGCTGCCCCAACCAGCTGGCACTCTGCCCTGTCTGGCATCTGCCTTCCAGTCTGGAGGTAAAACTGTCTGTCTCTCTCCCTCTCTCCAGGACAAATACTCAATTATCATTCAAGGAGCTAAGAGTCAAAGCAAAACATCTACAGCCTGACACAGCTTGGAAGTGTGTCCCCTCCAAATCTCACGTTTGTTAGAGGGAGTGCATTCCCTCATGGATGGCTTAGTGCCCTCCGTTTGGTGAAGCCAGAGTTCTTGCTCTATTAGTTCACATGAGAGCAGTCTGTTTATAAAGAACCCTGGCACCGCCTCTCTCTCCTTGCACCCACTCCCATTTCTCCCATGATTGTAAGCTTCCCGAGGCCTCGCCAGAAGCCAAGCAGATGCTGGAGCTATGCTTGTACAGCCTCTAGAACTGTGAGTCAATTTATCTCTTAATTATGAACTGCCCAGGCTGGAGAGTAGTGGCACAATCTCGCCTCACTGCAACTTCCATCTCCCAGGTTCAAGCAATATGCCTGCCTCAGCCTCCCAAAACTATAGGCATGTATTTTTGTAGAGATGGGTTTTTGCTGTGTTGGCCAGGCTGGTCATGAATTCCTGACCTCAGGTGATCCTCCTGCATCGGCCTCCCAAAGTGCTGGGATGACAGGGGCGAGCCACCATGCCCAGCCTCATTAGGGATTTGAATGTACACACTTGAGGCAAAATGTTCAGCCCCTGTTTTCCCTCTGCTCTCATACCAAAACAATCATCATCAACACAGATGACTTCTGTGAGCAAATGTGTGGGGGTTTGTCCCCACTACCAGGGCGTCCCTCTGATTCAGTTCTAACACTAGCTACCTTGAGACAGCATGAGAGCCTACGTGGTGAGAGATTCTTCAGCCAGTGTTGCATATGATTGCCACAGCCAAAGCCCCACTAAAAGGGCACAGAAGTCAGTGGCAATAAGAGGAGTGGACTTCCAAGAGCTTCAGATGCCAGAATTAGTGGCTGCCAGTCACAGATATTTAAAACTTAACAAATTCAACAACAGTAAAGTAATCAATTGGAAAATATGACAAAAGGAGGATGAAATGAGAGGATCTAACATGTCTCAAAGAAATTCCAGGCCAGGTGTGGTGGCTCATCCCTATAATTCCAGCACTTTGGGAGGCCAAGATGAGTGGATCATCTCAGCTGGTCAGGAGTTCAAGACCAGCCTGACCAACATGGTGAAACCCTGTCTCTATTAAAAATACAGAAATTAGCTGGGCATGGTGGTGTGCACCTGTAATCCCAGCTACTCCGGAGGCTGAGGCAGGAGAATTGCTTAAACCCAGGAGGTGGAGGTTGCAGTGAGCTGAGATCTTGCCACTGCACTCCAGCCTGTTGACAGAGTGAGAGTCTGTCTCAAAAAAAGAAAATTCCAGAATGAAAACAGAGACAGGACCCAGGACCCTTTAGAGTCAGGAGGTACAATCCCCAATTCAATAAATCCATCAATACCTAGGCCCATCAAAACAAAATTGCAGAAAAGACAAAAGGTCCTAAAAGCTACTGAGGGTGGAAAGAAGGAAGAACGTGTTGACAATTGCTTTCCCACCAGCGGCAACAGCAGACAGTGGAGTAAGAGAAAGTAAGGATGAGGTTAGAGTTTATACCCAGCTCAACTATTACTGAATGAAATAACCTCTCAGCACTGATCTGTCTCGAGATCTCTTCACCACAAGTGGACACTTACTCAGGGGATACATCCACATGTTCATATACATACTGTGTCTGCTTTCCTGCAACAGTATTTGCCAGAGAGACCACATTTCTGCTCTCTCGATTAGGAAGATGGAAAGATAAGCTACAGATTGGGAAAAACGTTTACAAACCACCTATCAGACCAAGGACTCATCTGCAGAGACTCATCTCTAGAATATATAAAGAACTCAAAGCTCAAAAGTAGGCCAGGTGCAGTGGCTCACACTTGTATTCCTAGCACTTTGGGAGGCTGAGGCGAGATGGCTTGAACCCGGGAGGTCAAGGCTGCAGTGAGCCATGATCACACTCCTGGCTGCATGACAGAGTGAGACCCTGTCTCACAAAACAAAACCTCCAAAGTATAAAAATGGGAAATAAACGCATGAACAATGTTTGCACTTCCAGCCATAGAGAAACAAGGTAGTGCTACACACCTGAGCTCCGGTGAGTTCCGGCACGGGTTGGCGAGTTCCAGGGACTCCGCAGCATAAAGCAGTAGTTGAACATCCAAATGGCCAGGTTGTGATTTCAGCATCCACTTATGAGTGTACTAGAAAAAGCACTCTTCTAGCACCAAAAAGGTGGGGGCTGCTGAGAATAAAGCTAGGCTTAGAAGCAGGAATCAATGTCATGGTCTACCAACCAGACCCTCTCTGGAAGCAGCCTTGGACTCACGAAGTGCTAAGACAGGAGCTGGTGTGGCGCCACGGGAAGCTTGGAGAATCTGGGAATCAAACAGAAGCACTCGTTCTGACCGTGTAAATAAGAGGCTGTCAGCTACTACAGCCATCAACAGAACCTCTGGGAGGACAAGCAACTCAAAATTTATAGCCACAGGGTAACAATGGAGTATTATCTGCCGTTAAGGTCCTCTCAATTCCTCTTAGGGTTTTTTTGAGATAGTCTTGCTCTGTCACCCAGGCTGGACTTCAGTGGCACAATCTCAGCTCACTGCATCCCGGATTCCAGCAATTCTCCTGCCTCAGCCTCCTGAGGAGCTGGGATTACAGGCATGTGCCACCATGCCCAGCTAATTTTTTTGTGTTTTTAGTGGAGACAGGGTTTTGCCATGTTGGCCAGGAAGGTCTCGAACATCGAACCTCATGATCCGCCTGCCTCAGCCTCCCAAAGTGCTGGCATTACAGGTGTGAGCCACTGTCTCCAGCCAGGTTTATCTTTTTTTAATCAAGGGCTAAATTCTTCCCCTTTCTTCGATACCAGTGAAGTATTTAAGAAAAGCAGTCACCAATTAATTAAATTTTCAAGAACAAATTAAAAGGTGGTTATAAGTTATAAAACAAAGGCATCTTATGAACTCTCATAAGAAAAAGAGGAAGAAATTAAGACACTTTATCATCTTTCTGAGATACGGTATTGCTCTGTCCTCCAGGCTGGAGTACAGTGGTGCAGCCTCCCAAGTAGCTGGGATTACAGGCATCCGCCACCATGTTTTTGTATTTTTAATAGAGACAGGGTGTGACCATGTTGGCCAGGCTGGTCTTGAACTCCTGACCTCATGTGATCCTCCCACCTTGCACCTGACCAGAGAAATTAAGACATTCCCAGATAAACAGAAGCTAAGAGAGTTCATTACATTGGGACCTACCCTGCAAGAAGTGCTAAAGGGAGTCCTTCAAGTCAAAACAAAAGGATGCGAAGTGGACATTTGAAGCCACATATAAAGACCTGTATGATTGAAATTTTGACTCATATCTCTGATTTTAATTATTTTATTGGATTTGAGAGATGTGTAACCATAAGTCTATGTTAAATACATAATTTATTTTTTAAAAAATTAGGCATGGTGGCATGCACCTGTAGTCTCAGCTATGGAGGATCACTTGAGTCCAGGGTCTTGAGGTTACAATGAGCTATGACAGTGCCACTGCACCCCAGCCTGGGTGACAGAGTGAGGCCCTCTCTCTAAAACATAGATATATTTTGTAACATCAACAACGTAGGAGGAGGCAGAGCTGTCAAGGAGTAGAGTATTTGTATGTGACTGAACTTACTAGTTTAAAATCGATTGCTGTAACTTCAGGATGTTTTATGTAATCCTCATGGTAATTACAAGGGAAATATCTGTAGAATGTACACAAAAGGAAATGAGAAGGGATTCTAAGTGTGTCACACAAAAAAAATCAAACACAAAGACAGGCAGAAGGAAGGAAGTGAGAAACCATAAGCTGTGCAGAAAACAATCCACAGAGTGGCACTGGGAGGCCCCGCAAATGGTGTGCTGGGGTCCTCCCAGAGCAGCTGCTCACTGAGCCCTTGGCTGTGGGCCTCACGGCACAGTCACCCACCAGGGTAGTGAGTTTCATCAGATGACAGTCTTTAAAAATGCAAATGAATTCCACCATCAAAAGACTGTAAGAGACTTACACATAGGTTGAAAGTGAAAGGATGAAAAAAGATATTCCATGCAAATGGTAACCAAAAAAAAGGAGGAGCTAGACTAATCTCAGACTAAATAGACTTAAGGTCAAAAGCTGTTATAAGAGATAATGGTGAATTCACCAGAAAGATGTAAGTTATAACTGTACATGCAATGCACCTCAGAGCTCCTAAATATATGAAGCGAACACTGACAGACTGAAAGGAGAAACATAGTTGTACGATAACAGTAGGTGACTTCAACACCTCACTTTTTACTTTTTATTTTTTTGAGACAGAATCTGCCTCCATTGCCCAGGCCAGAGTGCAGTGGTGTGATACAGGTCACCGTAACGTCCTGGAGTCACATGACTCCTGTGCCTCAGCCTCAGAGTAGCTGGGAGTACAGGTGTACACCACCACACCCGGCTATTTTTAGTAGAGACAGAGTTTCACCCTGTTGGCCAGGCTGGTCTCAAACTCCTGACCTCAAGTGATCCACCCGCTTTGGCCTCCCAAAGTGCCAGGGTTACAGGCATGAGCCACGTGCCCGGCCCAATAATTCACTTTGAATAATGGATACAACACCCAGACAGAAGATCAAGAAGGAAACAGAGGGCTTAAACAATACTATAGACGAATTGGACCTACCAGACATACACAGATGACTTCACCCAGCAGCAGAATACACATTCTTCAACGTACATGTGGAATGTTCTCTGGGAAAGATCATATATTAGGCCTCGAAGCAACATTTAATACATTTTAAATAACTGAAATCATAATAGCAGAAGGAAAACCAGAATTTCCACAAATCTATGGGAACTAAACATACTACAAAACTATGGATCAAAGAAAAATAACAGAAAACCAAACACCGCATGTTATCACGC